GGGGCTGGAGATACAGCTCAGTTGGTAGAGTGCTTGCCTCACATGCATAAGGCCCTAGGTTCAACAACAGGCAAGAATGTTATTCTAGAGAAAAGGAAAATAAAGAAACATGCTAACAAAATACTTTGTAGAGTCCTTAATTGGGACCCTCAATTAAAAGGAATTATTGGAATATTTGGGAAACTTAAATATTAGCATATTAAATAATAGTGTTGTATTGAATCATATTTAATCAAAATTTGGGGGCTGGGGATGTGGCTCAAGCGGTAGCGCGCTCTCCTGGCATGCGTGTGGCCCGGGTTCAATCCTCAGCACCACATACAAAGATGTTGTGTCCGCCAAGAACTAAAAAATATTTTTAAAAATTCTCTCTCTCTCTCTCTCCCTTCCTTTAAAAAAATTGAAATTGTTTTGCCTAATAGTGGTTTTGAGGTTATGTAATAAAGCACTCTTGTTTTTCATGAGATATATACTAAAGTATTTTAGGATACAGTGTCATTAATGCCTGCAGCTTATTCCCAAATGATTCATTACAAACTACTTTTATATATAAAATCTATAATATTTTTTAAAATAAAAGATTAGAAAAAATAAATTTCAAATGCCAAAAGAAACTAATACAAAGAGGACTCATACCCAGAAATATTTAGGAACCTTTATAGAACTCAAAGTTTGAAGATTACATCCTGAAAATTTTTCAGGGAGCCATAAATAGGCTACATACGGAGCATCCCTTGGTATAAATAGAAGACAGAGAACAATGTCATCCAAGTTCTTAGAGAAACTTAGTTTGAACATAGATTTCTACATCCAGCCCATCAAAATTTGAGCACAAAGAAGAAGAGGAATGGGAAGATGTAATTTCAGTCATGTAAAGACTAAGAAATTTTGCTTTCCAAAGATCTGCTCTGAAGTACTTAGGCAAGGAAATGTTCCACAAGTACTTGCAGGTTGCCCTACTCTTCAGAGATTTGAAAAGCAGAGAGCTGTACTGGGGGCACCCCACTTTTGGCTCTCTTCCAGATCTCAACCACTCCTGCTCAGGCTCACATCCTATGGCTAACTCTGCCCAGAGATGGGTGGCAAATGGACTGACTGCCTTGGCCACACTCTAACAGGAGACAAAATGTAAATGCTTTTAAGCGGTCATTGCCCTCCAACTGTGAAATGGTAATGTGCTAAATTATGTGTTTAATTAATTTCCAGCTAACAGCATACCATAAAATTGAGAAAACAATTCCTCAGGCAAGTTCCATCCCTCGGGATCAGTGTGCATAAAGTACACACTAAAGGATCAAAAATTCTCATCAGTAAACTTGTGTCTGTCCTTTGGATGAATGTTCAGAGGTCTATTTCTGCTGTGGTCTGATGAAAGGTGCAGTTACCACTTATTGGTTTGTCTTTTTCTCCTTGTGTTTGTTACCATATGGATTAGAAATTTTTGCTAGTTCTTTTGGATCAGGAATCCAAAGAAAAAACTTGCTGTTAGATTTTTACCATGAACAGCCATCCTCTTCACAAGTTAGAGTTTTTTAAAGGAAAAAAAATCACAGCAGGATTAGGGAGACTGAGCTAACAGATAATGAAAGTATCTTCAGTCTTGAGAATATTCAGTGATATGGACTGAAACAATATTTAACTAAGCTAGAGCTGTGCCTACATAATAAAAATAGAACAAAACAAAAGAGTAAAAGACACAAAATAGGTACCTTTTAATCCAGACTACATAATATTGTACAATAGCTTTACAGTGATTTGTATGATTTTTTAATTTTTTAAGCTTCCTGAACTCTATTTCTTTCTTTTACCTCTTATATTTCTTTTTAAAAAAATATGTTTAGTTGTAGATGGACACAATACCTTTATTTTTTATTTATTTATATATGGTGCTGAGGATCAAACCTAGGGCCTCGCACATGCTAGGTAAGCACTCTAACGCTGAGCCACAACCCCAACCCACCTCTTATTATTTCTAGCATTAATTTCAATGCTTGATACTGAGCTGACACTTGAGAAATATTGTGAATTAATAAATAAGTGAATAAATGAATGACAAAGCCGAGTTTAAACCCCAGTTCTGTGGCATTATTGGCCATTTCCATGGTACCCAGTTATCCTAACTGTGAATACTCAAGGCAGAATAAAAGACATTAACAGAGCATGCCTGTAACACAGACAACCATTTAATTTCATATAAATTCATGACTGAATCAATTTGGCTATTTGTTTCCAGAAAGTTCCTACTTTATCTACTTAAGATCAGTCATGCTAAATACAAGTCTTAGTGGATCATCAGTATGTTGCGTGGACAGCTCTCAATACAAGGTCCTCCATGGGACACTTCAGTTAATGGCATTTTACTGCCTCAGCAGTAAAGCTGGATGATATGGCTGGACTGTTTCCTCATAGAAGAATGCACTAAAGGAGGTCGGAGAGCCAAGGAATTGAAAGGCAGATCCAAGATCTCTGTTGCAGACAGAGAGAATCAGTGTCTAAAATCAGAGAGAACAGCAGGAGCTCCCATTCTTCCTGCTGGGTGTCACCTGTTCCTGGCCCTTTCACCTCCTGCTGCATCTGAGACCAAAACCCAGCATGGTTTCACAGGCAAATTCCTCCCACCCAAGCTAACTTGATCTAACTCAAAATAGGCTATAAGGCACTAATAGTCTAGAACCTTGTTTTTTTGTTTTTTTAATTTTTTTTGCTATTCTAGGGATAAAACCCAGGGACTGGCACATGGTAGGCAAGTGCTATCCCACTGAGATACATCTCCTAATTCATTTTCTTTTATATTGAGACAGTCTCACTGTATTGCCCAGGCTGGCCTTGCATTTGTGATCCTCTTCCCTCAGCAACCTAAGTAGCTAGGATCACAGGCAAGTGCCACTACATGTAGCAGGGACCTTAATTTTATCTTCATCTTTAGGTTACACTGACCTTAAGAATCTTTCCCAGATGTTGAGAAAACATCTCTTCCCCCACCCTCACACACACAAACACACACACACACACACACACACACACACACAATTATTCTGTTACTCAGAAAGCTATTAGATTTAATGTAGCATTTGGCTCAAAGCATAGCCAACTTTTGCAATGCCATCCTGGGATATAGAACTTGCACTTATGATTTCTTACCCTTTCTCTTTGCCAACAACTTCTCTGCCTTAGGAAAGGAACCTGGTGGGGGAATGAAGAGTTTGGATTGCAAAATTGAGGAAAGTGCTGAAATACCTGCCCTAGAGGACTCCTCCTCATCCCCCATAGATAGTCAGCAACATTCCTGGCAGGTTTCCACAGACATTGAGAACACTGAAAGGTAAGTGGGAAGTTACCCTGAATAGACTTCCAATCCTCCCCCAGCTAATGTTCTTAGGGGCCACAGAGAGTTGAGAGTTTTCTATTTCAAGTTCAGAAGAAACAGCTTTCTTTGGTCTGCCAGAGAAGTATAGTGCTGGCAGGGACCTTGGAGACTGTTCTCATGGGCAGATGAAAAAGCTGAGATGATAGAGTGTAAGTAGTCCAAATCCTACAGGCAAACAGTAGCAGGACAGTAGGTGCCAGCTCCTAAGACTCTGCTTATCCCTCTCAAGTATGCTCTATCTCTGTAGAAGGGAGAAAAGTAGATCTATATACTGTCATAGTTCATCCACCAGACTGGTTCCCAAAAATCTATTTGTTTAAGACGAAAAAATCCAAAGTCACGCAAAGACGCTTCTAGTGGATTTTTAAATTTCAGATACATGGAGTGGCCTATTTAGCTGAGCATTCTGTCCTGTTCACAAAGGGCATTTCATGGAGCCTCCTCTTACTTTCCCAGAACGTAGCTGATGGCCCCTTAGTGGCCAAAATGAGTTAATGCACTGTCATAAGTAGGAGCTTACTTCTAGAGGGTGTTTTTTTCTTGGGAAGAAATTCTACAATGATTCTATTTCATTTGAGAAAAAGAAGCAATAATAATATCATAACAATAAGTGTCATGTCCTATCTAAAGGCTAAAAGTGCTGTTCTGTGAGGCAGAAAGATGAGACTCTTGTTTGTTGGTTTTCACACTAATATCTGTACCCTTTGCTACTAATGTCCCCAGAGTTGGCACAGAGCAGTTGAATGAGTATTGGGCAATTCCACTAAGTGTTCTGTGTGTGTAGGGTTGACTCATTGACAACATAATAAACATTTTATTTTTTTACATTTAGAAATGTAACTTCCAGTGACATTTATAGCCATTGTAGTTCTACTTTTAGATTGTAATATAATTCTAAAGCTACTTACTGAATTTCTGTGTTTATAGAAAATTGAACTATGTAGTGATTATGTGCTATTAATAAAACTTGGATTTTGTAATAAGCTTGGAAATCCAACAATTCAAACAATAAAACTGTTTGGCTCAGTTTGATAAAACTGTAGACAAATCATGAGGTAGTGATTTATCTTAAGTAACAAAATAGAAGATTCTTTGTTCTGTTCCCAGGGGGAATATATATATATGTATCCAGAATGCCATGGTCAGGGCAGAAACCATCTGTAAAGCCATTTTCCTTTTCAAAGCACCTTGCACAGCAGCTATAGCCACACATTATAAGTTTTAAGAAAGCAAGCTGTGGATGGTAGTAAGAATAGGGTAATAAGCCCACAGTGCTAGCTGTATTTCTGGTCAGCCTGGAAGTCCAGATTCTGGTTAAAGGAGTGGAAAAGAGTGAGGGAAGTAGGCACAGAATTCCTGGTCTGGATATGGCTTCCTCAGCTCTCCTGGATTCTCTGACTTGGGCCCAAACTAGTCTGCATATAACTCTCCAGGAAGGCTTTTTAAAAACATTGAGGCCTGGGCCCCACCAGAAGCCAAGGGAATCAGGGTCTCTCTGGTGATACTCCTGTGCAGCAGTCAGTCTTATATGGAAGCAGAAAATACCCCTTGAATTTATGAAGAGAGGGACCTGGGTTTTTTTTTTTAATCTCATCTGCTGTCTGCTTGCAGTGCTCAATGTCACAGTGTGACATTGAAACATTTCTACAGACCTGTGTGCTGCTTTCCCTTCCTTTTCTAATCAGCAATTCCTGATATTTGAGCTCCTATTCACATCTTAGTCAATTCTTTTGAGGAAGAGGTCCCTTGGGGTCTCTAGTGCCCACGCCACCCCCCCACCCCAAGGCAGTGGCCCTCAAACTGTGCTTAGCAGAATAGTGGTGTTTTGTGAAAGGGACTGAGAGTTTTCATACCTGAAGTTAAATGGTAGCTCTCCTAAATGCACAAGAAAAATAAATTAGTGGATAGAATTTCTTCCACTTTAGAATTATCTCTGCTCCCAAACTTAAATCTATGGTCCCTATTAATGCTAGCCTATTCTAACGTTGATTAAAAGATGTATCTGGTTTTTGCATCAAATTATTGCTGTTTTAGATGAAATCTAAAACTAGGTCCCAAGATTTTAAAAGCACTGTCTCCTTTTGCACAACCACCTAAATGTATGTGGGTACCACTGTCCCAAACATTTGAAAAGTTCAGTTTTCCCACTGCACTAGGCTAGAAGCCCCTGAAGTCGTTGGTTGCTCTACAGTTCTGGGGTGTTATGATGACATTCCACTGAGATGAGGGAGGATGTTGGAAGTATGCAGTGGTATTGCAATAGACCATAATGGGGAGCCAGGAAGTTTTAAAAAAGAGGCTAGTGGCTACAGGAAGACCAACCTGCCCCCAGGTGGTTTCTCTGTCTCTCTTTATTAAGAGCTCTTCTCCAGAGGTTGTAGAATTTGTCATATTCTCCCATCATTCAATTTAGTAAGCATTGATTCTCACAAATGCTTAATACTTCATTATGCTGAATTCCAATCACAGCAAGGAGAGACTTGAACCTCAGCAGAGAACAGTGAGGAACCTACACAGTCACCACTGCCTCTGACCAGAACCCCAGATATCACATCTCCCTACCTCCACCCCTGCTCCCCAATTGTTGAATTTTGCATGTCCTTGGCCTCTCACTGTAAATCTGAAGCATTGTCCTCATTACCAAAGGCTCCTCTATGATCTCAGCCAGGTGCATTTGGAGGCAAGGATGAAGTTTCCTGTAGGACACTATCCTGTGGAAATGTTCCTCAGAGTAATTCTCTATCCCACAGGAGCTGACCCCATCTCAGATGTTTTTCTTATAAAAGCAAAATAGATCCAATATTTGCCTACTGAAAAAAAAAGAGCTAGTACAACTAGGCCCAGATTCTTGCCTTTCAGTTGTCTCATAGAACAGACTGAGACTTCATTTTAGAAATTTACAGCTGATTACTCTTTCTTTTTATCAATTTTACAGAGACATGCGAGAAATGAAAAACCTTTTAAGCAAACTCAGGGAAACTATGCCTTTACCATTGAAAAATCAAGGTGAGTCTTGTCATTTCTCTGTGTGGCAAAGGATGTTTTAAACAAGATACATAACTTGGAACTTATTTCTTGAGAAATTAAAGTGGGTGTTTTCCAGAAACAATAAAAAGCATTAAGCATACATTTGTCTTCCTTGGAGGAAATGTAATCACAAAATTGCTTTGAACTGGGTAGAGATATACTCTGACCTAGAAGCAGATTTCTCCCCGACTGATTGCATGCGGTGTCGAGCCCTATACCAGATGGGGTCACTCAAAAAGTCTGAGAATGTGGCCCTTGTCTCCAAGAGGTTTGCAGCCTAGGGGAGAGACTTAGGAATACTTCCAAAAAAGATCCCTGCATTTGGGGTAAAATTGGGAGTTCATAACCCACTTCAATCTAATGTATGAAATATGATATGTCAAGAGCTTTGTAATGTTGTGAACAACCAATAAAAAAAATAAAAATTAAAATTAAAATAAATAAATAAATAAATAAAAAATAAAAAAAAGATCCCTAATATCTACATGTCTAATTATTTAAAAAGTAATAGTAATACTTAACATAAATTGGGAACTTACCATGTCACCATCCTGTATACATACAATAACTGTACTAAATTATTTAATTATTTTTGTGAGTGTAATGCAGGGGATCGAACCCAGGGGTCTCACATGTGCCAAGCAAATGCTCTATCACTGAGCCACCTCAGCTGCTTATTTAATTCTAACAACTTTGAGGGAAATATTATTATTTTTCTGAGGTTACAGGAAACTCAGACATAGAGAGGTTAATTAAAGTCACACAGACTGTAAGTAGAAAAATTGGGATGAAGATGCGCAGGTAGTCCATCTCCAGAACTATCTTGAAGTAGACATCCAACAGAAAAGGAAAGGATATTCACAGAAAGAGAGAAGGGCCTCTCCATGTTTTTATTAACTATTGTATCCCCACTATCTAGAGATAGGGACATAGTAGAATAATACCTGGCACAAATGATAAATATTTGTTAAAGCTGTACCCAACTTTGCAGGCCTTGGGACTAAGGATGGCGGGGGGGATGGTGAGGGAGACGACAAGCACTCTCACAAAGCATATGCAGCTGGAGCAGCTTCAGAGAGTGGCACGGAGAACGTGGGGAAAGGCTTTTTGGAGGCAAGTTAGAAACTCCTCTTGTTTCCACTGAGCAAAGCCTAGGCGGGAGAGAGGACACAGTGCTGCCTGCCTTAGAGCGAGGAGGAGGGGTGGAGGAGGATTTGGCAGCAGAGCTGAGGCGCCTCTTGGCTCAGGAAGCAGCTCAGCAGAAGGTAGAGAGGTGGAAGTGAGAACACCAGACGAAGAGGCTGAAAGGCTTAGGAGTAGTGTGGCCTCAGCTGCATGGGGCGAGAGGCAGGGGACTAGCACATCAGGTCACTTCAAGTACCCCCAAAGGATCTGGCCACCAAGGCCAGCTGTCTTGAGCCAAGGATGTAGTGCTTTTTGAAAAAAAAAAAAAAGACAACACGTTGTAGTGATGATAGATTGCTCTGATCACAACATGGAAGATTGTTGGTAGAAATAAGCAAAGTTTAGGACAAAGAACCTTGGATTAAAACTAGCCGCAGTACAAATGCTGTCACTACCACGTATCAGCTTTTCACCCTGGTTAAGTGTTTAACTTCTGGAAATTTTAATTTCCTCATCCCTGAAAGGGGACAATAGTATCACCTACTTCAGAGGGTTGTCATGAGGATAAAATGAAACAGTGCGTCATATGCCTATTACAAACCTTACTTACAAGGAGCAAATGTTTGACAGACGCTTTATTGTAAGTACTATTGTTATTACTGGTATTGTTGATATTATTTACTAGCTGACCCACCCTGCTTTGCTCAGGAGAACCCCAAACCGCTACTGAATCAAACAGTCCCTATTACCACTCACCATGACCACGTGTTATATCCATGTGTGGCTGGTCTTGAGGCTGCAGTTAATAGTGTTGACTTCTGGACTTGGAAATCATGTCTAAAGTGTCCTTTGTGTCTACTTGGCAAATCTCCTCCATCAATAGCACCAAGCCCCTTGCTGAACCTCACATTCAGTAGCCTAGAAGGAAGACTACCCAGGGTCCCCCAGTCTAAATTTCATGGATGCCATAAAGTCTACATTTTAAATTATGCCACCTTAAACATTCCCTCCATATCCAGTGGTAATTCATTCAGCAATTTTTGAATTGTACATTAGTGGAAAGAAAAATTTTATTCACTTAGTCTATTTTTAGAGAAAGTATAATATAAATATTTTACATAAATTTGTATTATTTTCGCAAACAAAAATAAAATTTTAAATACATCTTTAAAATATTAGAATACTAATAAAATACTATGAGTTAAAGGAATAAATAATACAGGGACTTGAGTCCTGGATCCATATGGAGAATGAAAAAGAAAGAGTTAGGAGGTGTAAGAACTTATTCAGAAGAAAGTGGTACAGTAAGATCTTAATTTTAAAAAATAACTTGGGATGAAGGATTGGTAGAAATTCAGGTGTCTTCATTTTGGAGGAGAAATGTGAACCATCAGCGTGTGCAGATCTGAGTTCTCTAAATGTTCAACATGTCCCCACAGCATGTTGCCACTGTGAGCTGGCTGATGGGGAAGGGCTTGAGAGATGCCTGCAGGGTCCAGGGAGTGTCTGAAGACAGGAGAACAGGTCTCTTGTGGTCCCTCTGGGAATGTTTTTGACAAATGCCTATGGCATCATTTTAATGAGTAAATCATATGAGATTCTTCTCTCTGACTGATCCAAAGTGGACTGCCAAGACTTCTCCATTCAGGTGATTTGTTTATTATACAGGTCTAGTCTAACATGTGCAGGAAACAGTCCGGGGAAAGTATGGAAAAATTTTTCCAATCCTTTTCTGTAGAACATTATTTTCAAAACATGATTCTAACTGGTTGAAAACCTTTATAGAAAGCCATCTGTTTTCTTTCTGGCTTCTTATTTCCTTTCTCTTTTTATTCCATTTACATGTCTGTTTGAAACAGAGAAAAAGGGGAAAGATAACATTCCCGATCCTTGTTTTTCCAACCCAGAGCCCTGACCATGTAATTACCTGCCAGCCAGATCCCCCTCTTCTCCAGGCTCCCTCTCAGCCCTTGTCTCAGAAATTGTTCTGTTTTCTTTTTTAGTATTTAAAGATTTAATCATATCTTTCCCTTTCTACACAATCAAAACTTGACTCAACAAAAGTTGACTTCAAATTGATTTTCAGTAGAAAAGAAAGGAGGGTGGCCGAGGGCAGGGATTTTAATAGTTAGCGATGATGGCTTTATTTTAGAGAAAGTCTTTTCTTTCCCATCCTTCCACTTTAAGACTGGAGACAAAGAGGTGCACAAAAAAAGAGCCAGCCACCCTTGTTCTGCCTCAGCTCCCCAGCAGGCTCCAGGCGACACCCAGGTCTCCTGGCTCTCAGCCCGCTGTTCTTTCCACTGCTTCAATGCCCCTCCTGTCCTACATTCTGGGTCACTGGCAGTGCTGTAGGGAGCTTCATTAATTATGATGGTCTTGCTGTGTCAAATGGATTACAAATGGAACCACCTGTGGAGAGCCCGCAAGGTTACTGACTAAGGCTAAAAGGAGATTGGAAAGTGAAGGACAAGCATCTTCTAAATGCACACTGTTATGAAACAAAGCAAATCGCCAGAAATAAATTAAGCCTGAAAGACAGTTTCACCTTTTCTAAAATTCTGACTTAATGCTGTGGTTGTATGGGTATATTCAGTCTTGCATAGAATTCCATTGTTGATACCACGCACGAGAATCAGCCTGGAGTAGGTAAATCAGGAATCAAATCTGCTCTAGAATGGTGCTCACATGTGGACAGTCCTGCTCTAGATTAAACTGAGCCTATAAACTGTTCTCCCAGATTTATATCCTCCATCCACTCTGATTTGGACCACTGTATGTAAAACCAATCTGGCCATATCAGATAAAAGGTATCTGGATATCTGGCTAAAGAGCACTGGGAAGTTATGCTCCCTCTGTCCTGGAGGTGACCTTTCAAGTCCTTTTCCCAGGGCCTCAACTGAAGACATTCTGTGTTACCAGGTAGTGTTGGAAAGCTATTCTGGGCAATTTTACCAGTAGCTCCATATCCTTTGTAATCTCCACAACCTTTTATCCAGCTTTCAATGTGACAAATGTAATCCCTCTCCTCCAATCTAATCCATGCATCAATTCTAATGCATTACTCTATGTTGAGCCTCTACTCACAAATGTTAAATATCTACTGAAGGAAGAACAGATCTCACTCTAGTATCCATTGTCCTTATCACCATCCAACATGTGATGATCACCTATGATGTGTCAAATTCTGTGCCAGATCTGGGGATAAAGCCCTGCACTGCACCACTCCACCCCGATGCTGCCACCCAAGGCAGAATTGACTGAGAATCACCTTTTCCAGATGGCCCATGCCTCCCTCATAGAGATTGTGGTAAAGTGTTCAGAGAAGGCATGTGAACTCCAAAAAGGACTCTCCCTGCCACTGCCACCCGCCCCCATCTATGTTACCATTAAGATACAAAGATGAGCACTTAGAATACAATAATGCCACAGTGATTACACACAGGTTGCCACAAGATTATATTGGATTCTCACTTAGCCTGAATTTGAGTTGAAATGGGGAAGCATTTGAGATTGCTTTTTGGAAAGTATCCAAGCTGAGACTTTTTAAGGTGAGTAGGAGTTACTCAAAGAAAAAGATGGGGTAAAGATTACCTAGACCCAAGGATCTACATATGAGTAGATACAGCACAGAGCATTTCTTTTAAAAACTACAGCTCTTCGGTAGTTAGGAAAGTGGTTAGATGGAGGCTTAAGAAAGATGAGAGGGCTGGGAATGTAGTTCAGTGGTAGTGCTCTTGCATGTGTGAGGCCCTTGATTTGATTCCCAGAATATATATAGAGAGAGAGATGAGAGAATTAGGTGGGCTATACCTTAAGACACCGGTAAGCCACATTAAGAGTGTTGTATTTTT